ACCTTGCTGGGGACATGTGACCCAATGTGGTTGCCCATGGAGGTTATCACTTGTTATCTCTTAGGCTCATGCAGAAAAAGGTGATGGCTACGTTTACCCTTAGGGCCTATCAGCCGCCCTCAGGAAACACCGCATCCTGCCGCCACTGAGGAAGAAGTCACCCAGGAGGCTGCAGAGGATGAAATGAGACAAAAGTGCCCGGTATGCGGTGGACACGTCCGGAGACCCGCGTTTCTGTACGGAAGCACGTGGTGCAACAGCAGGGCAATACTTCTAAGACGGCACAAGAACAGAGCAATACTTCTAAGACGAGTCACGCACACGCTGCTCTTCTGTGATTTCCACCATCCTTACCCCGTAACTCCTGGCGTTGATGGTCGGAACCCCAGTGAAACCACCATTTCCAAGGGGACTGTGACCGCTTATCATGACGCCTGCCAGCCGCTCAGACACTAACGACAACCTCTCATCCCCTTCTTGAAAAGTCCCCTGTCAGCCTGGGTGCAGTGGTTCACACCTGTAATCCCAGCACTTTGGGAGGCTGAGGCAGGTGGATTACCTGAAGTCAGGAGTTCAAGACTAGCCTGGTCAACATGGTGAAACCCCATCTCTAATACAAAAAAAAAAAAAATATATGGTCAGGGGCAGTGGCTCACGCCTGTAATCCCAGCATTTTGGGAGGCCAAGGCGGGCAGATCATGATGTCAAGAGATTGAGAACAGCCTGGCCAACATGGTGAAACCCCGTCTCTACTAAAAATACAAAAATTAGCTGGGTGTGGTGGTACACACCTGTAGTCCCAGCTACTCAGGAGGCTGAGGCAGGAGAATCGCTTGAACCCGGGAGGTGGAAGTTGCAGTGAGCCAAGAATGCGCCACTGCATTCCAGCCTGGGTGACAGAGTGAGACCTAGTCTCAAAAACAACAACAACAACAACAACAACAACAACAGCAGAAAAAACCTACAGCTACTCTAAGGCCCCCTATCCCAAGGCCACTATTTCTTCCTCTGTGCTTAGATCTCCCCTTCCCAAATAGAAACAGACTGGAAAGGATGGCTGTGGTCTTCTGGGGAAAAAGTGAGAGGGCCCTAGAAAAACAGCAATTATGAAGTTTCTGTTTGTTTTTTGAGATGGAGTCTCGCTCTGTTGCCCAGGCTGGACTGTAGTGGTGCGATCTCGGCTCACCACAACCTCTGCCTCCTGGTTTCAAGCGATTCTCCTGTCTCAGCCTCTCGAATAGTTGGAATTATAGGCATGCGCCACCGTGCCTGGCTAATTTTTTGATATTTTTAGTACAGACAGGGTTTCACCATGTTGGCCAGACAAGGCTTGAAATCCTGACCTCAGGTGATCCGCCCACCTCGGCCTTCCAAAGTGCTGGGATTACAGGCCTAAGCCACAGCGCCTGGCCGCAGTTACAAAGTTTGAAGTATATGCATGCTGATAAAACCACACACCAGCCCACAAGGGAGAAAAACACGACTCCACTCAGACACACACAAAACGCGGAAGCACCATGTACACCCAGGGCATCACTAACATTTCTATCAGTCTGCCCTTTCACTGAAAGTTGTTGAAAACAGACCTTTAATACCAGAGATGCCAACGTGGGGGCTGTCACCAGGCCATCTCCTAACAGCCACACCCTCTGTGCCCTGGTGTTCCTTGACCCATGCCTGAGGAGCTTTGCTGGCAGCTGGGTCCTGGGCATGTGATCTAAATTGGGCCATGGGGTATAAGGGGCTGTGTGCTGGAGCTTTGGGGCAAAGGTCGCCAGCACACCTGAGAAGAAATTCCCCTTCCTACTTTTGGAGACAATGGGGAGAGAGAGGATGTGATGGTTGGAGAAGCAGTGGCAGCCATCCTGGCACCATGAGGAAATGAGTATGAGGATGAGAAGACAGAGAGAAGGAACCTGGGTCCCTAGCGATGATTAACTGACAACCTGCTGCTCCTCATGTGGAATAATAAAGATGCTGATTGCTTAACTCACTGTTCATTGGGTATTTTATTCTTTTACTTTTGGGCCAAAGCATCCTACGTTGTTCACACAGCCATGAGTGAGCCGATGCCAGGAGGGAGCTAAGTCTAAGTATCCACAGCTAGACATCAGAAATGGTTCTGCTGTCACACAGGCGACCCTCGAGGCGCACAGAATGAGCGCTTTGAAATGATTCATGATTTTCACATATGTGATAACACCCCTTCGAGTTTTCTCGTAGGGAGAGTTAAGTTTCATGATGAAGTTGTGAATACCAAGTACCACCAAGGAGTAACTAGACAATAAGATCTTCTTGGAAGATGAGAAAAATACAATCTATCTTTGGTCGTGTTTTTTTTTTTTTTCTACGAATTGTCCACGACTTTTCCATACAGGGAATTTAAACAGATGCGGGGTGCCTTTTTAGTCTGAGCTGTATCAATAAAATAAAAATGGAGCCAGTCAAGGAAGTAACTTCTCCTGAGATAGGATTGTACCATGGAATTGTTAGAAACGAGAAAAAAAACCCAGTAATTACATGAGATAGTAAGTATTAAGCAAAAGGACAGTCTGAAACGAAATATAACAGAAAGTTATTTCTGTTCCCTCTGAATAAAATACATACACACAAGTGGCCGGGTACGGTGGCTCTTACCTGTAATCCTAGTATTCTGAGAGGCGGAGGCGGGTGGATCACCTGAGGTCAGGAGTTCGAGACCAGCCTGGCCAAGATGGTGAAATTATGTCTCTATTAAAAACAGGAAAATTAGCCGGGTATGGTGGCAGGCACCTGTAATCCCAGCTGCTCAGGAAGCTGATGCACGAGAATTGCTTGAACCCTGGAGGCAGAGGCTGCAGGGAGCCAAGATCATGCCACTGCACTCCAGCCTGGGTGACAGAGTGAGACTCCATCTCAAAAAACAAACAAACAAAAGCAAACAAAAAATACACCATATATATATGCATGCACATGAAAGAAATTTCACCATCGCAAAATATTTTCCTCACTGAAATGAAAGTTCTAAGCCTGTGTTGTTTATACCAACATAGTTGCTGTGGAAATAGCTGTTTCAACATTAGGAACTCACGGCTGACTCAAGTAAGGTGTGGAGCAGAAGTCTTATTTAAACAGTGGCAGGACCCATAAAACATTAAAAAGGCAAACTGGGTGTGGTGAGTCGGAGCGCCATATGTTTTAATGTAAGGGTCACGCATGTTCTCTTTCTGAGGCATGACACCAATAGGATGTTACTTTTTATTTATGCTATTTTTGGAACCCTATAATCATCTCAACAACTCCCCCAAACATCCTAGATTTTGCTGTCTGCTTCTGTCTACATCCAGCAGCCTCCGTATTTTATTACATTCATCGTGCTTGGAACAGAGTTACTATGGTTCAGTCCTCGCTGGCACATGCAGGATTATGGCACCAACCAGGGCACAGGCAGGATTTTGGAAAACTTCTGCATGTAATTGAGTCCATTAAATATACCAGTACTGGGCTGGGTGAGGCCGGTCATCCTAGCACTTTGAGAGGCCAAGGTGGGGGGACTACTAGAGGCCAAGAGTTCAAGACCAACCTGGCCAACACAGAGAGACCCCATCTCTAACATAAATACATAAATATAAAATAGTGTATATATATAAATAAATAAATAAATAAATATAGGCTGGGCACAGTGGCTCACACCTATAATCTCAGTACTTTGGGAGGCTGAGGCAGGAGTATCACCTGAGGTCAGGAGTTCGAGACCAGCCTGGCCAACATGGCAAAACCCCGTCTCTACTAAAAATACAAAAAAATTAGCCGGGCATGGTGGCAGGCATCTGTAGTCCCGGCAACTCAGGAGGCTGAGGCAGGAGAATCACTTGAAATTGGCCAGCAGAGGTTGCAGTGAGCCGAGATTATGCCACTGCACTCCAGCCTGGGCGACAAGCGAGACTCTGTCTCAATAAAAAAAATAAAAATAAAAAACATCTAGATCTCTTTCTGGCAGTACTGACTTATTCGCTAACAGGACATCACTTCCAGCATATGGTCTACCGTGTGCCTATGGCTTTATAAACTCAAGTGCAAAGTCCTCAGAGACTGTGAGGACCCAGATCGCCTCTGCACCCAACAGCCCAGCTCCCTAACTCCACTGTCAGGCCTCTCATTTGTTCCTGTCTTTTATGGGTCAGTTAAGAGCTTCCTAAACAATCCTAAAAACCCTCAGGACAGCTCCATCGAGAAACCATGTGGCTTGCCCGCACCTTCCCTTGGTGAGGCCCCCCCACTCCTCTGCTTCCCCTTCCTACTTCTTAACTGGACATGGATGCACTTTTCTTTAAACACACACACACACTTTACCATGATTTTTCCTCTGGTCAAGCCAGAAATTTTACCCTTTGTACAATAAAACATATTCAACACGTTTTTTAAATGAAAGTGCTGTGTGGGGCTGTTTTAAAAGCCCACCTTTCCCCCTCAACGGTGAAGTGTTCTGTAAACAGAAGCCCAGATCCCCTCAGCAGCGGGCACTGCCCGGGGTGTGACCGCCCTCTCGGCCTGCACAGGAGAGCGATTCATACCAGCAGAACCGGAAAAATCACAGCTGAAAGCAACCAGGGAAGAGGCAAGGGCCAAGAGAGCAACGTAAAGGAGTTGGATTTTCTACTAGGTGAGTCACAGGAAACACTCCGGCCGCAGCCCGAGGCTCCAGGAGGCCCTGCTCGCCCATCAGGAATGTAGGTCAAACTCCCAGGGGGAAGGGTGAGAGCCCAGGCACCCAGGGCAAAAGCTCAAGTTCCTAGGAGAGCAGGGAGGCTGGCCAGAAAGCAAGGCCTCCACTCGGCCTCCGGCACCAGCCCCAGCCCACCCTCCGACTAAGCGTCAATTTCCACAGACCGCGGTGAAGCAGAACCGCAGCATGCTGGCCCAGATCTCTCCTCTGTTCTGGACTGGGCCGTCCCACGCATTTCTATCGGGGTTCGCGGGATGACAAGTGGGGTTTACGTATAAAGGGACAGATGGCTCACCCAGTTCAGTCGACACGGGGGACCCGGTGGCAATCTCACCGATCTTGGCCACTCCATCGTAGTAGGCTTTTCCTGCCAGGATCATAGCTAGACACGAAAGGTGACACACAAAATCGTCACTTAGACAAGGAAAGGAGGAAGCGACACAAGTTTTCTCCCAAACACCCCTCGGTCCCTTCTGGCCACAAGGTTTGGGCCGTGGCAGGTGTGGCTCTCAGGAGGTAAGGCCTGTGTTGAGAGCTGCACTGGGGTGGAGGCCCCCCAGCCAAGGGACAGTCACATGAGATCCTCGTCTCTGCCCAGCCCCGGGGAACCTTCAGCAGCAGGGGCTGAAGGTCCAGAGAAGGCTCTGCTTGCTCCTGATGCCAGTTTCAGAGTGGATGTGTTCCTAACGTTGAACTAGGGCTTTGGCTGGGCATGGTGGCTCACACCTGTAATCTCAGCACTTTGGGAGGCTGAGGCGGGAGGATTGCTTGAGCTCAAGAGTTTGAGACCAGCCTGGGCAACATGGTAAAACCCCGCCTTTACAAAAAAAAAAAATACATAAATTAGCCAGGCATGGTGGAGTGTGTCTGCAGTCCCAGCTACTTGGGAGGCTGAGGTGAGAGGATCGCTTGAGCCCAGGAGGTGGAGGTTGCAAGTGAGCTGAGATCATGACACTGCATTCTAGTCTGGGTGACAGAGCCAGATATCGTCTCAAAAATAAAAATAAAAAAAGAAACACATCCTCTCCAGCCAGAAATCTTTTCTGAGCTAGTTCTTCTCCAGCACTCCAGGTCTGCAACATGCTTAGTTAGGAGGAGTTGTGTGAGGTAGTCTAGGAGTCTGGTCCTTTGACGGCAGTGCTTCATTTTTCTATTGAAAAAGACATTTTGAGCCACAACCAATCAACCTATTTGTTGCCAGGAGAGAATATATGAAATCTGAAATATATTATCTTTCCAAAAAGCAATACAATTGTCTGAAAAAAACAACTGAATCCTCTACATTTTTTTATTTTTTGGCAAAGACAGGAAAACTTTTATTGCTACAAGGTGGGTTCTAATTATCTTAAAAATAATACTGCCCCCTTCAAACTGATTCTGAAGACTAAATTATAACTACATGACCTCCTGGGGCAAATTACTTACCCTTTCTGAAACAAAGGTTGCTCGTCCTTAAGATGCCCTAAGAATGTGAGCGATGGACGAACAAATGGAAGCTACTAATACACTTTTTTCACTTTACAATCTAGGTTTGAAGGTACTGAAGGCGTATGATACAGACCCAGACTGGTCACTGTAATTTTGGAGAAAAGCATTTATTTGGAATTTTACTGTAAGATTGGTTTCAGACACAGAAATCAGTTTCTATTGGAGCTTTGGAGACCACATGGTTTTGGAGCTAAAGGAGCCCTTGGAAATCCCAGAGGCTATACCAGCTGCAATGCCCCAATGTATAATGGGCAATTGTTTTAACAAGGTGGATTTTATTTTACTTATTTTTTTTAGAGGCAGAGTCTTGTTCTTTCACCCAGGTTGGAGTGCGGTGGCACAATCATGGCTCACTGCAGCCTTGACCTCCTGGGCTCAAAGGATCCTTCTGCCTCAGCCTCCCGAGTAGCTGGGACTACAGGGATGTGCCACCATTCCTGGCTAATTACAAAAAAAAAAAAAAAAAAATGAAGGGGCTGGGTGCAATGCTTATACCTGTACTCCTAGCATTTTGAGAGGTTGAGGTAGGAGGATCACTTGAGCCCAAGAGTTCAAGACCAGCCTGGGCAACATAAGGAGACCCCCATCTCTATTAAAAACAAATAAAAAAAACTAGCCAGGCATGGTGGTGGTGGCACATGCCTATAGTCCCAGCTACTCAGGAGGCTGAGGTGGGAGAATCGCTTGAGCCCAGAAGGTCAAGATTGCAGAGAACCACAACTGTACCACTATACTCCAGCCTGCTGCCCAGGCTGGTCTTGAACTCCTGGGCTCAAACCATCCTCTCGCCTGAGCCTCCCAAAGTGCTTGGATTATAGTTGTTAGCCACAGAATTAATTCATGTGAAGGTCCAGCTGAAGGTATGAAAAGTCAAGACAGTAGTATTTTTTTTTTTTCTGGCAAATTAATCTACTTGAGGATTTACTGTAGAGTTAAAAATTTATGGCTGGACGCTGTGGCTCACGCCTGTGATCCCAGTACTTTGGGAGGCTGAGGCGGAAGGACCACGAGGTCAAGAGATTGAGACCATCCTAGCCAACATGGTGAAACTCCGTCTCCACTAAAAATACAAAAATTAGCTGGGCATGGTGGTGCATGCCTGTAGTCCCAGCTACTCGGGAGGGTGAGGCAGGAGAATCGCTTGAACTCAGGAGGCAGAGGTTACAGTGAGCTGAAATGGCACCACTGCACTCCAGCCTGGTGACAGCGTGAGACTCAGTCTCAAAAAAATATATAAATATATATTTTCTATAAATACATATATAATATATAAATATATAACTTATATATATATTTATGTATATATAAAAGTTATGGTTTTTACTATATATGTATCCAACTTCAGGAAATGCAATACTCTAGCTACTGTGCCATTGTAAGACTCAGAATAACCTTAAAGTGTAAATGTAAAAAGAACAATAGCAATTAGCATTTACAGATATACTTAATCTAGCCAATGATGTTGAGACATAGTTCGTAATGTCATCAGCCCGTCGTTGCTCTAAGGGCAGCGGGGTGGAGATATTCTGGGACATACCCAAGGTCAATGTTGAGTCAGCGGGAAGGCACACAGCTCTGGCTGGGCACTTCACTTCCTCAGCTCTAAATGATGGTGCTTTCTGACTCTTTGGTCTTGGCTAGCACTAAGAAAGAAGTGACTCCACCTAAAAACAAGGTGTGTAGCCAGGAAACTGTCAAGTTGTAAGATGTAACATCTTAGTATGAAGATTTTAAGTTGTAAAGCACTGATAATCTGAAAAGCAAATTAGTGGTGGAATCGCATGCAGGATTACACAATATTTCAACAGAATGTTTGGTTTGCATCCACACATGAAATCACAATTTTTCATTAACTGTTGACTTACATTGAAAACCATGTAACCTTCTTGGTCTTGTAAAATATCTTTGCTATGATAAGGCAACTTGAAAATTATAAAATTTAGCCAGAAGAGGTAACTAATACTTTCATAATTTTGCCTCCCTTTTGTGAGCACGTTATTTTCTACTACTTATTGTTTTAAGGAAAGAGGCATATTCTTTTGTTGTTGTTGTTTTAAGAGTCAGGGTCTCACTCTGTTGCCCACACTGGAGTGCAGTGGTGTGATCACAGCTCACTGCAGCCTCAACCTCCTGGACTCAAGCAGCCCTCCCACCTCAGCCTCCTGAGTAGCTGGGACTACAGGTGCATGCCACCACACCTAGCTAATTTATTTTTTCTAGAAACAGGGTCTCACTATGTTGCCCAGGCTGGTCTTGATCTCCTGGGCTCAAGCGATCCTCCCACCTCAGTCTACCAAAGTGCTGGAATGACAGGCATGAGCCACAATACCTAGTGTAGTTCTATTTTAGTGGTTAGCCAACTACTTCCTCAGTCTAATCTATGCACATCTACCTGATATTTTTTCCTTAAAATACGGTTTCATTGGGTGAACATTCTGCTTAAAGCCTTTGGTGGCCTCCCACTGCCCGTGAGGTAAGGTCACACACCTCAGAGCCCATGGTAGATTTTTACAGTAATGGCCTTCCAGGAATCACACCTCCCAGAATTCCCAGCATATGTGGTCCCCTACCGAGTGGTGTGGCCATGGGACCCGCTTTGACCCACAGGTTATCAGCAAGCATGACTCCCACAGGGGCTTGAGAGGTGCTGGCACTGGGGTTTATACGCTTAGGACACCACCGCTATGGAGTGAGGGCCGCGTCTGGCCTCCTTGAAGAGGAAAGACCCCATTGCGGGGGTGCATCCAGCCCACGGCCCCGCACGGGCCACAGATGACTGCAGGTACAGGAGTGAGTCCCGAGGGTCTGGAGAACTGCCCTGCCTTTACAGGAGAAATAAGCAGCTGTTGCTGTCTGAAGCCACCACGTTTGGGGGCAGTGAGGTACGCAGCGTGGCACAGCATAACAAGCTCTGATGTGCGCATTCAAGTGCACAGTGATCTAACCCTATCCCGCCCACTCCCCAACAGTGTGCCACCCATGCCAGTGTGGACCCCAGGTCCTGGCTTACTTGCTTTTTTTTTTTTTTTTTTTGAGACAGAGTCTTGCTCTGGTGCCAGGCTGGAATGCAGTGGTGCGATCTCTACTCACTGCAACCTCCACCTCCCGGGTTCAAGCGATTTTCCTGCTTCAGCCTCCCAAGTAGCTGGGATTACAGGCGCCTGCCACCACACATGGCTAATTTTTGTATCTTTAGCAGAGATAGGGCTTCACCACGTTGGCCAGGCTGGTCTCGATCTCTTTTTTTTTTTTTTTTTTTTGTTGAGGGGGGGTCTCGCTCTGTTGCCCAGGCTGGAGTGCAGTGGCGCCATCTCCACTCACTGCAAGCTCCGCCTCCCAGGTTCAAGCAATTCTCCTGCCTCAGCCTCCCGTATAGCTGGGACTACAGGTGCCCGTCACCGCGCCCGGCTAATTTTTGTATTTCTTTAGTAGAGACGGGGTTTCACCGTGTTAGCCAGGATGGTCTCGATCTCCTGACCTCGTGATCCGCCCGTCTTGGCCTCCCAAAGTGCTGGGATTACAGGCGTGAGCCACCGCGCCCGGCCTGGTCTCGATCTCTTGACCTTGAGATCCGCCCGCTTCAGTCTCCCAGTGTGCCGGGATTACAGGTGAGAGCCATCGAGCCCGGCTGACTTGCTATCTTTTATGCGTGCGGCAGTGTCTGCCTGCTGAAACCTAACATCTGGCAGCTAGCTCAGCTCCTGCAGGGCCTCCGTCCTGTTCCAGTCCACACCAACCCACACCACTCAAATTCTTTGACACTGGTCTGTACAATGCTACTAGCCATTCACCTGCAGACCTGGATTCCTTTTTTTAATTTTTATTTTTTTGAGACAGGGTCTTGCTCTGTCTCCTGGGCTGGAGTGCAGAGGTACAATCACAGCTCACTGAGCCTCGAACTTCTGGACTCAAACAATCCTCCCACCCCAGCCTCCTGATAGGTAGGACCACAGGCGCATGCCACCATGCCCAACTAACTTTTTTTTTTGAGACAGGTTTTTTTTTTGAAGTCGAGTCTCACTCTGTTGCCCAGGCTGGAGTGCAGTGGCACAATCTTGGCTCATTGCAACCTCTGCCTCCCAGGTTCAAGTGATTCTCCTGCCTCAGCCTCCCAAGTAGTTGGGACCACAAGCACGTGCCACTACGCCTGGCTAAATTTTGTATTTTTAGTGGAGACAGGGATTTACCATGTTGGATAGGCTGGTTTCCAACTTCTGACCTCAGGTGATCTGCCCACCTCAGCTTCCCAAATTGCTGAGATTACAGGCGTGAGTCACTGTGCCCAGCTCGAGCTAATTTTTAATTTTTTTTAGTAGTGATGGGGTCTCGAATTCCTGGGCTGAAGCTATCCTCCTGCCTCAGACTCCCAAAGTGCTGGAATTACAGGCACGAGCCACCACGCCCAGACTGCCTTGTGTTCTAACATAACTGTAGACTGCACACCTAGCAGCCTCAACTATTTCCAAATTCTCACCAAGGTCTTTACACATTTACCTACATTTCTCAATGGCTTCAGCAGAGGCACGACCAGATGGCCTGTAGAAATTCTGGAAATACTTTCTGAAGCACAGAATACTCCCCAGGAGGTGCTAAAGTGGCGAGAGCCCTTTGGGGAGAAGCCTTGTTAGCAGGAAGCTAAGCTGTAGGCAGCTCACTGGCTCACCTTGTAAAACTCTGCAGCTCATGCTAGAAAGAAAGAAAAAAAAAAGAGGCAGCTCATGCTAGAAAGAAAAAAACAAAAACAAACAAAAAAAATCCTGCAGGTCACAGTGATTTCCTTCACAAGGACATCTAAAGCAATGACTCTGTGGCCTTGTGACTAAGCAATCTTCGAGGGAGAGTCAGAAGTGCATGGCTCTGGCTCTCTGGAGGACGGGGGCACCTGCAGAAGTCACGGGGACTGCTGGAGGGCAAGGGAGCAAAATCCCAGACCTGCTGCACTTCCTGTCGCTGAAATCCCCGAAAGCACAGCGAGGCAGAAGAGAGTGAATGAGCAGTTTACTTTTCCAGCGACTACACACAACGACGTTCCTCCTCACCCAGAGCCCACAGTCTAGCCAGCTCATGCCCCTTCCTGGGGCAGGTTCATGCTGAGCGTGTATGAGGCCACAGGTTTATTTTCAAAATATCAACAGGGAGCAACCAAAGGTGTGGTATGACAAAAAATATACCTAAGAGGCTGGGCGTGGTGGCTCACGTCTGTAATTCTAGCACTTTGGGAGGTTGAGGAGGGTGGATTACCTGAGGTCAGGAGTTCGAGACCAGCCTGGCAAACATGGTGAAACCCCGTCTCTACTAAAAATACGAAAATTAGCCAGGTATGGTGGTGCACACCTGTAATCCCAGCTACTTGGGAGGCTGAGGCAGAAGAATCGCTTGAGCCCAGGAGGCAGAGGTTGCAGTGAGCCGAGATTGCTCCACTGCACTCCAGCCTGAGTGACAGAGCAAGAATGAAAAAAGAAAGAAAGAAGAGATAAGAAAAAGATGTAAAACTTGATCTGAAGCTGCCTTCAAATCTAACTGTCAGAAACTACATTTCTACTTATGTTACTTGGTGACGTAAGTAGAACCGTCGGAGAGGATGAAACTGGGGTCTGAATGTTTTGGGGTGACACTTGCTACATTTTGGGGGAGAACTGTCTTGACCATGTTAGAATTTGGTGATTGCTAGCATTTTAAGTTTTTAAGGTGATCACTGATGCGTTTTAACAACATTCGCCTCTCAGGAGGAAAATGCATATCAGCTTCCTAAACACAAATCTCTTAAACTAACAACTCTGGTTCACAAAGACAGGCCAACACCAATACTCAAGTTCATTTTAAATGAAGCATAGATTTTGACATGAGAATCTAAGTCCAGCCGTTTAATTTAGATGTTTTTCCATTCAGGCTAAAAAAAACTTTTTTTTTTTTTTTTTCTTTTTTGAGACAGGCCCTTACTCTGTTGCTCAGGCTGGGGTGCAGCGGCACGATCACAGCTCACTGCAGCCTCAACCTAAGTGATCACTCCGCCACACGCTGCTGAGTAGCTGGGACTACAGGTGTGCGCCACCACGTTCAGCTAATTTCATACAGGCTAAAAATAATGTTTCTCATGTTACTATCAAAAGTGACACATTGGGGGAAAAAAAGATGAAAAACGTGATACGTCTAAAGACAAGAAATTCTTTTATATACATAAAAGGAGAGCAATTTCTGTGCTGTAGGACACTAACTTATAAATGTCTTATGTACACATTTTATATTTGTTCGTTTACTAAGAATTTGGTTTAAAAAGCAGAAAGCATGGTTTTATAGCTAAAAGACATCACTTAGAGTAGCCTCGCTTTCATTCAATCGACCTGTTTCAAATACGCTAACATCATTGTGTACGGTCATTGCAAAGTTGTGTAGATTGCATTCGTTGTAAACAATTTTTGCCACTTAAAAGTATTTAAAAATTCAATACTAAGTATTTGAAACTAATTAAATATTTACTGAGTGGCTTTATATATAATCAATTCAGAAAAAGACTTACCATTTACAGCTTTCTCATAATTTTTCCCCAGGTTTATTAAATTTCGCAGCCCAGGATTGAACTGTTCCATAACATTCTGCCAAACAAAACACACAAATTAATAAACAAACAATAAACCGAATCATCTTCAGATTTTGTTGCTGTGAGGACCAGGATAGCTATGGACGCCTAATAGCACAGTCTACAAAGTGATAAATGCTTATGCAAAAACCATGAAGAACACCTATTCCCTTACCCAGTGGAACAGGGCTCGCAGGAGGCAAGGTACCCGTAACTCTGGCAGTTCTCAGTTTCCCAAGGAGCTGCCTGGAATCTGCTATAATCGGAGTAGGCAGCAGGCATTCATGTCTCTACCATCCCCTGCAGGGACTGTGGGCCTGGCATCCTCTTGGGTTTGAGTGGATTGCTAATGGTTCTCATATTCTAGCGTTAAGGAACGCCAGTGCAGGATCAGCTCTCTGTATTTAATTACAAAGGCAATGTTTACAATAGATTTCAATGAATTTCTATCCATTGAATAGAAACTTCCAGGAATTTTTGTTTTTACTTTGCCTAATTATAGGGGTGTGGGCAGGGAGGGACATGGAAGGGGGCGCTGGTGGCATGTTGTTGACGGCCCCAGGACACAGGCCTGCCTGGAAAGTTCTTTCTGGGTGTCCCCGGCATTTTTCTTTCTTTTTTTTTTTTTTTTTTTTTTTTTGAGACGAAGTCTCACTCTGTCACCCAGGCTGGAGTACAGTGGCGCAGTCTCGGCTCAATGCAACCTCCGTCTCCTGGGTTCAAGCAATTCTCTTGCCCCAGCCTCCCGAGCAGCTGGGATTACAGGAGCCCACCACCACACCCAGCTAACTTTTTTTTTTGAGATGGAGTCTCACACTCTTGCCCAGGCTGGAGTACAGTGGCGCCATCTCGGCTCACTGCAAGCTCTGCCTCCCCGGTTCACACCATTCTCCTGCCTCAGCCTCCTAAGTAGCTGGGACTACAGGCGCCCACCACCACGCCCAGCTAAATTTTTGTATTTTTAGTGGAGACGAGGTTTCACCGTGTTAGCCAGGATGGTCTCGATCTCCTGACCTCGTGATCTCCCCGCCTTGGCCTCCCAAAGTGCTCGGATTACAGGCATAAGCCACCGTGCCCGGCCGACACCTGGCTAATTTTTATATTTTTAGTAGAGACAGGGTATTGCCATGTTGGCCAGGCTGGTCTTGAACTCCTGACCTCAGGTTATCTGCCCATCTTGGCCTCCCAAAGTGCGGGGATTACAGGCATGAGCCACCGTGCCCGGGTGACACCTGGCTAATTTTTATATTTTTAGTAGAGACAGGGTTTTGCCATGTTGGCTAGGCTGGTCTCGAACTCCTGACCTCAGGTTATCTGCCCACCTTGGCCTCCCAAAGTGCGGGGATTACAGGCATGAGCCACCACACCCGCCTCCCTGGCATTTTTCCAGTGATTAGTTTATTCACTGAGGGAATGTGGAGTAACTACCATGGGCCAGGCCCTGCACATGCAGCTAAGGATGAGACGGCACAGTTTCCCTCTCACAGATTTCATGGTGCAGGCCATGGCCAGGTTTCATTTTAACACGTGTTCTTCCTGTCTCACTAGAAAGTCATAAAGACAAATGCTAGAATAAGTATAAGACAAATGCTAGAATAAGTATAAGACAAATGCTAGAATAAGTATAAGACAAACTCTGGCCCGGCAATTTTCTTGCTCCCAGTCCCAGGTGCCAGGGGATTACAGAGCTTCACCACCATACCCAGGCTAATCTCTGATGGAGTCTCACACTTTGCTCATGGCTTGGGAGCATATGGCACGATCTCTGTTCTTTCACTGCAAGCTTCCTGCTTCCTTTTCAAGCACCACACCATTCGCCCTGCCTAGCTTTCCTAAGCAGCTGGGATCACAGGTTTCACCCGAACACCGCCCTGCCAACTTAGATTTTAGGAGACGAAAGATTCTCACCGTGAGCAGCTTGCAGGATGTCCTGCATCTGACCTCAGGTTATCTGCTCCATCTTGCCCTCCCAAAGCATGGGATTACAGGCGTGATGAGCCACTGCAGGCTCGGTGACACACCTGGCTGCACTTTGCTAGGCTGGTCTTCTTGTGAGACAGGTTTTCGCCATGTTGGTTGTGGTTGGTTCAACTCCTGACCTCAGGCTGGTCTGCCCAATTCTTTGGCCTTCCCAAATGTGGATTACAGGCATGAGCTACTACACCTCATTCTTCCTTGGCATTTTTTCCCTAGTGACTGGTTTGTCTGACCAGATGGAATGTGAGACCATTATAAGCTGTGGCCTGCACATGCAGCCATGATGAGGACGCAGCACAGCCTCTCTCTTCCTCACAGATTCCTATGTAGCATATTTTACGTACAGGCCTCCCTATTTCTAACACGTGGTTCCTTTCCAAGTCTTACTAGGAGAAACATAAAGATCAAACATAGAACAAAGTGATAAGACAAAAATGCTAGAATAAGTATAAGACAAATGCTAGAATAAGTATAAGACAAACAACTATTTGGGATGTGGGTCTAAATTTTAAAATACCCTAACTTTGAAGTACAGACAATAAGTCATTCCTATGGTACTCAGACTTCACGACTCACATGTGGCGATTGTGTTTGTTCCGTCCAGGAACAATAAGCTTCACGATATTAATCACCCCAAAGAGATCATTCAAGTCTCATCGACCCCTTCCCCAAAAGCATACTCCATTTATATAGATGACCGATACAAAAAAGAATGAACTACTACGCAACATTCAAAGAGGCAGGTGCTTTACACACATACCCTTCAGAATAAATGAATCAAGAGGAGACAGAGAATAGGATGACTCTTGTTTTCAATCAAACAGCGATAACGACACAAAACAACCCATGCCTTGACCTTTCCATAGCCCTGGTCTTACACCCAAGAGCACTTTCAACTACGCTCCTATTCTTGTATTTATTGCTACAGTTTTGAATATATATATATATATATATTTAATATTCTTGATTTCTTGATTTTGGAGAGTAACTGCAGCTTCCGACGACAGCAGATGAGGTCTCGGGTCTCTATACCTCTCGGTCTTCCTTTCCAGGGGACTTTCTGTGCAATTAGATGGCACTTTCCTGATGACTCTAGTGTTCATTATGACTTTGTACTAAGGCTGACGGTTCCCTTTCTCGGTACAGCCTGGCTGTTTTTCCTGGGATGGATAATTGTTTCTTTCCACCCCGCCACCTTTGCTTAGTTTTCTGTTTATCTACCTTAAACTTGTCCTCATGCCGTATTAGACTTGGCTGAGGCCTATCGGTGTTATTTTTCCAGTGTACAAAACTCTTAGCGAATCGCCCGTTCCGTTTTTCCCTCGACTTCCTCTGAGGACTCTCCACCACCTTGCTCAGTGTGGCCTGACTGTCACGGTTGCCCTAGCATGGCCCTCCTGGTGGCCTGTGGCAGGGCTCTTGTCAACCAGGTCCACATCTTCCTCTTTCTCCAAAATGGAGATCATGCTCCAAAAATAATCTAAGAACTGATGCATGAGAGGTAAATCTGAGTCCCCATGTGTCTGAAATTACCTTTACCTTAACATTTGTTTGCTGTTTTGCTGAGTAGAGCAGAGTAGATTGAACCTAGTTTCCTTAGAATTTTTAAGACATCACTTGGTCAGGCGTGGTGGCTCATGCTTGTAATCCCAGAACTTTGGGAGGCTGAAGTGGGAGGATCACCGCGTGAGCCCAGGAGTTCCAGACCCACCTGGACAACATATCGAGACCCCCCATCACTACAAAAATAAAAACAATGAGCCAGGTGTGGTGGCTTGTGCCTGTGGTCCCAGCTACTTGGGACGCTGAGGTGGGAGGATCACTTGAGCCCAGGAGTTTGAGGCTGCAGTTAGTTGTGATTGCACCACTTCACTCCAATTTGGGTGACAGAGTGAGGCAATGTCTCAAAAAAAAAAAAAAAAAAAAAAAGAGAGAGAGAGATATTACTCCACTGTCTTTAGCATCTGGGTCTGCTGAAGTCAGCTGCCAGTTCTTCCGATGTGACTTTTTTTTTTTTTTTTTAAAGCTTATTTCTGGAAGCCTTCTCTTGATTTCTGTGTTCTGAAATTGCACCATGGTCTGTCCCAGTGTTTTTTTGTTTGTTTTTATTTTACTGGATACTCAGTGGGACCCCTAGCCATGCGGAGAATTATGTCCTTCAGGTCCAAATATCGTTCCTGTTTTATTTCCTGTCTCTTCATTCTTTCTGGAACTCTGATGAAGATTTTATATATCTTGGATTTATTCTCTACCCTTTTTTGATTTTCTGCTTTCTGTATTTTTGTTCTACAACTCAAACAGATATCCTCAACTTTATGTTCCAATTCTATTTTTTTAATTTCATATACCTTAATTTCTCAGAGCATGTTCATGTATCTTGTTTTGTTTTGGTTTGGTTTTTGAGATGGAGTTTCACTCTGCTGCCCAGGCTGGAGTGCAGTGGTGTGATCCTGGCTCTGCCACCCAGGCTCAAGTGATCCTCCTGCCCCAACCTCCCAAGTAGCTGGGATCACCGGCATGCGCCACCATGCCTGGCTAATTTTTCGTATTTTTGGTAGAGATGGGGTTTCGCCATGTTGCCCAGGCTGGTCTAGAACTCCTGAGCTCAAGCAATCTGCCCACCTTGGCCTCCCAAAGTGCTGGGATTACACGTGTGAGCCACTGCGCCCAGCCTTTTGATTGCTTCTTTTTAAAAGTACCCTCCTGTTCTTGTTTTATAGACGCAGTATCTTTTCCTGTCTGAATTGTAATTTTTTGGTGTGTTTTATTCCAGTTCCCATATCATCTCCCGATCACCTTTCACTGTTTGATATCCCTGTCTTTCATGTTAGAAACTCTCCTCAAACGTGTGGTGATCCCTGCTGGTCAGTTCGTATTTAGGAGTGCAGCGCGTCACCGCCGGCTGGAAGCTGTGGGTGTGCGCCCAGGGTAGTGGCTGACTTGCTGGCTTCATTCCGAGCGAATGGCCACTCTGCAGTCGTCAGGGGCCACTGGGTTTCTGCTGAGAACTTTCTAATTTCCTGTCACTGGGTGGGGGAC